CACTCTGTGCTTTCTGTTAATGACCATAAAAACACTCTAAAGGATTGACGCTGAGATTACAAATAAATATTAGTGAGTTAGAGAATGTGCAAATATAGGCTTCATGAAGATCGGCTATATTTAAATCATAAAAATGCTAGAGGCAAGAATATTATCAGTGACCCCAGAAAAAGTTCCATTTTTCAAAGGTGTATTTTCAGGGTTCCTGGGTGGCTCAGTCAGTCAGTTAAGCATCTGACTCTTGTATTTGGCTCAGGTCATGATCTCATGGTTTGTGTGATTGAGACCAGTGATGGTCTCTATGCTGACAGTGCAGACCCTTCTGGGAATTCTCTCTCTCTCATTCTCTCTCTGCCTCCCCTGCTCACATGTGTGCACACACATGCAATCTCTCTCTCAAAATAAATAAACTTGAAATAAATGAAAACATAAATAATAGAGGGTACATATTCTGCTGACCAAGGTATATGGAAATCAGTGATGGCTTCATCTAACCAAAGTTTAAATTTTTGTTAAACTGCATTTTAAAAGCCTTGAATTCTCTTGTCTCTATAGCGTGGTTCTAAATTACAGTTCGTCAAAATGGACATTATCATCCCACTTCCTCTGAAAGCTCTGAGCATTCTTTAAATCCCAAGCCCGCAGAATTCCAGCAGCTGAACACAGAGTTCAGTATCGTCTTTAGGGAAACCCCTCATTTACAGGCACGAGAGAATTTTTTCCACTAATCCTGAAAGAAGAAAACTATCTTACTATCCCACACCTTGGTTTCTGGTGACTGGGGAACACTTTTCTTACAGATTTGTCTTCATCCTGGTAGGTTTATGCAAAATGACATCCTTTGAGCTTTTTTTCTTGACTGAGTTTCATTGGGTCAAGGAAGCCACAGGGTTGGTGTCTGCGGCCAGCATGGGCATGGAGAAGTCTTGGGCTGGAGAACTTCTGGAGGTGTGAGCTGCCGTTTCCAATTGTGAAGTGTGACGTGGATTTACATGGATCCTGGACCCATGGATTTACATGGATTGTTTTTTTCTTTAGTATTTACACCGTGACCCACCTCAATAGGAGTTGAAAACCATGTTTCAAAGTCCCTTGTGATGATGAATCTTGGAATTTTCTCAGGGAGTCGACACGATCTTTCTCAAAAGGACTCTGAAGAACTACAACCAGCACCGCCTGTCTGCGGAAAACACCTTAGGTCTGCTTTAGATTGCGAAATGAAAATAAATTTTCAAAGTGTTTTTCAAGTTGCCTTTGGGTTTTGTAAAATGTAGAAATGTTTCTTTCTTTTTCCTTTACTTTTTTTTTCTTGGTCAAATGAAATGCCACTGTCAACTCTTTCTGCACACAGAATCCTGCCTTCGGATACTCAGGGAAAGAGAACCCACATGAAACATTTACCCAGATGTTAGGGGAGAAATAAATTCTGGTTTCAAAAAGCCTTTGTTCTGTGGCTGAGACTGCCACACTTCTCCCACCACATCGATGTTTACTTACACAGTTTAATGAATAAAAACACACTGACCGACAATGCACAAGAACGACCGGATACCAACTAGTGAAGACCAGAACTGCTTCAGTGAGAGGTGAAGAAGAAGGGCCAAAGATCGTGAAATGAGTTTTAAAATGTCTAAAGTAGAATACTAAGTTGAGAGTTTCATTTTACTTGTTATTGATTTCTTTTGCTTCAAGAGAAGCCCATAACCAGTTTGAATCTCGTCTCTACCACGTTAACACAGAGGTATAGTACTAGGCATAGCTTTCCGCCTTAGGATGTTTGGTGGCTCAGGGGCATGCTCGATGAAGACAGTTGTCCAGAAGAAAATACCTTTCCAATGTCTGGGGGTCCCCTATGTAATGCCACTGAGAGCTTTTATGATTCACCTCTGCCTGGCTTACTAGCTGTGTGACCTTGGCCAAGCGACTTAGCCTTCTAAGGTTGTCTCCTCAACTGCAGACTGGAATTTATTACCAAAGTTTATTACCACATTTAATTGTTACTAGATCTTAATAAGAGAATGGATTTACAGCCTTTGAATGCCTTGCATTCAAGAAGTACTCACTGCTGATATGTTATTTCTGCATCATAATCCCATCTTTTGGTCATTGTGTGCTCCCTGTGCCTTCCCCCATAGACAATGGCCAGCTGGAGCCCACATCCCAGGGAGGGAGTGTTTGAGGGTGACAGATGCCTCGTGCGCAAGAGAACTTGTCCATGGCCAGAAAAGCAGCCAGGAACCAGAGGGGAAAAGAAGTTAGCAGGATGCAAAGTGTCTTTATTACAACTCCGCTGGTTTTAAGGTTTCCATTTCTTTTCAGCAAATGTGTTTTCTTCCTCCCATGGAACTAAGAACATATGTGCTGCCTGGCAGCTGATTTCTGCAACTCCTGAAGTCAGGATGGGAGAAGGCTGACTCACAATTCCTTACACCGCACGTGTGAAATCCTTCAAGAAAATGTGGAGGGTGGAAGAGCCACAGGATTTTGGATGATACTCTCAATTGCTTTTCATTTAAATCAGCAAAAAAGAATGGATTGATTGTTTCCTTCTATTTCTGCTCTTCTTTAAACTACTAGTATTTAATTTTCTTAATGTTTTTGTTTATCTTTGAGAGAGAAAGAGACAGAGTACAAGTGGGGAAAGGGCAGAGAGAGAGAGGGAGACCCAGAATCTGAAGCAGGCTCCAGGCTCCGAGCTGTCAGCACAGAGTCCGATGCAGGGCTCAAACCCACGAACTGTGAGATCATGACCTGAGCCAAAATCGGACACTTAACCAACTGAGCCACCCAGGCACCCCTAAATGACTGGTATTTAAAGCAGCATAAAGAGATAGTTTGAACAAAAGGTAGTATCGCTGAATAACAGAAAAATGGTAACATTTGGAGAACCCTGTGGTTTTCCAGTCACCTTATTTATTTGGTCTTATGGCGTCCTTGGGATGTAGGTTTTATCAGTGACAAGGAACAAGCCTCCCAGAGATTATGTAGCTACTAAGACTTTAGCCACTAGAATTTTATTGACTCTAGGTGTCTAGCACTTTGCCACATGCTTTTTCTATACCGTATGCTTTTTTTTTTTCTTTTTAAGATTCACACAGTTAAGCTTTGATTAAAATTAAACTGAGGCGCCTGGGTGGCTCAGTTGGTTATGTGTCCGACTTTGGCTCAAGTCATGATCTCACGGTTCGTGGGTTTGAGCCCCGCGTCGGGCTCTGTGCTGACAGCTAGCTCAGAGTCTGGAGCCTGCTTTGGATTCTGTGTCTCCTTCTCTCTCTGCTTCTCCTTCCCATACTCTTTCTATCTGTCTTTCTCTTTCAAAAATAAATAAACATCAAAACATCTTTAAAAATTAAAGTAACATAAAGTAGAACATGATACCTGTTAAAATAATACATTTGAGGAAATGTTCTTCAGTTATGACTGTAACTGATCAGGCATGTGACATCTTTTACAGGATAGATAGTCCCTAACTTCCATGCAGAAAACACTGAATCAAATGGTGCAGTATGGTGGGTGAGGTGTCAGTGATCAAGCCCAACTACCTATGGACAACACGCCGACAGGGCAGACTCATTAACACAGAGAGACTCATTCCGTGCCTTGAGTTTTCTTTCAAAGAAAGTATTTTTCACATCCTCTACAAGTTAAACAAGAAGTCCAACAAGGGCCCTTTATTGCTCTTGAAACAGGCAACAGACTTGACAAAGTATCTACTCTAAGCAATTTCTTCATCACACATTTTAGGTAATGCTCCCAGGAGAAGGAGTGTGTATGGTCTGGGGCAGTTCTAGAAGCCAGAGGAGAACTATGTGGATAAGGAAAACAGGAGACACAACAAAGCAGGGCTCGGAGGTGATCTCTCCTGGCTTGAAGAGACGGACACGGCTTTTTGTGCACAGAACTCCCAAGCTTGGAAATCAGAAGAACTCCAATAACTCCTGCAGCTGAGGCCAGGGGACACGTTCGGCCCCAGACACACTAACTACAGGCTAAGTTTCTGCCTCGTTCCAGAGTTCAGTTCAAATCCTGGGCTCACCACTTGAAAACTGCATGACTTTGAGCAAAACACTTAAACTTTGTGGAGTCCCATTTCCCTGTGTGTAAATGGGGCTAAGAACACCTCCCTGTGCCTGCTTGGGAGGACGCAAAGATACGGCATATGCTGCTTAGCACGCGACACACAGCAGACATAGAATAAACAGTAGTTATTATTCTGTACCATTGTGATTATCCCCAATCCTGGGACTGCTGGCATCACCAATGCTATAATTTAAAACACATGTATCCTTCACATGCTAGCAAACTAGTTCAAAGCCTGCTTTTGCAAATACATTATCTAGTTTGGGCTTAAAAAAAAATCCCTGTATATGCTCTGCACTGCTTATCAAAGGCTCTCCATAATGCTTACCCAAGGGTAAGTCAATTACACAGGATACTGTTCTGCCTTCTATTATTCTTCTTGAACCACATTCCATGTGGTAATGGGTCAATTTCGTTACTTCCTCTTTCCTCCTACCACATAGCATACCCTATAAAGATGCCAGTTAAGTTTTAACCCTCTTTTGAAAGTGAATTTTCATCTCTCTCTCTCTCTCTCTCTCTCTCTCTTTTACATTATTTAAAGTTGTTGCAAGGTCTTTTAGTGTCCTCCAACCCCCATCCATGCAACAAAATAGTAATGGGAGAAAATTATTAGTGCTTTAGCCAGAGTCTTCCTGCTGAGCACGATGACTTTGTAATGAACTCTGCATCCATAAACGGTTGACTCTTTGATCTCTGGCTGCTTGTACAACTCTAAAGAGAAAAGCATTCCAGTCCAAACCACACAAAGAGAGAGGAACACGGGTTATTTATGGGAGCCCATTGCCTCTAAGTTTAGCCTGGCTCTTTCAAGATTCAAATACACACATCATTTTGACTGCCAGATCTGCTCCCTCCCCTTACGGAGTCACTGCGGCTGTAGGATAGGAATGTCTGATCTCTGGCTTCTCTCTGGGGTGAGAAAGGTAGCTGGTTTGGCAGGGAGACAGACACCACAGTATTTATAGGGACAGTAGAAAATCGAATCCATATGCCTGCAAGGGGAAATCAGAGTAAATCACCAGGAGCTAAGAGGACTTCTGAATTCCCTTTCTGAGGACACTTCAGTTTCTGGACAAGGGTAACCAGGACCTAGCTGCCCCAAACCCACCATCCGCATGCCCTCTTTCATCTGACAGTGTTCTACCAACACTGTCCCTTTACAGGAAGAAAAGACAGGCCCTCTTTGGTTCCTGGAATTCAGACGCTGTTTTGCAACTCTGACTCTCGCATTCCTGAGTGAACGTTCCGTGTCAGAGCTGGTGCAGACATGGGAGCCGTGAATTCCCAATTCTGGAGTCACTGACACTAAGTTCAATGACTTCTTGTCAGTGATTCTCAGATCATGATGTCCTCAGGTGCTTTGCAACATGGCTGGATATTGATTCACACTGCTCAATAAAGCGAAACTCAAGCCAAACAAAGATGGTACTGGAATAGGATATATCTATTCTCTTTCCTAACTCCCTCTGACCAAATATCAAAAATTTACAGTGTGGCAGGAGAATGAAAAGGGCTGGATGAGAACCCCTGTAACAGGAGAAACCTCAAAATGGAAATTGCTTTTATTCATGTAAAATATTGAACGAATGAATTTGGGCCAAATAAATACAGCCAAAGCTGGGAGTCAATTTGGTCATCTCATTCACTCATTCCAGACACTCCAGTCCACCTATACGAGGCTATTTTGGGCACAGCAAAAGGATCTCAATGAAATTGGCAAATTTACTTTGCTACTCTTGTGGGAGCTTGATTTTGAACAATTTCATATTATTGGGTTGGCCTAAAAGGGACTTTTATTTTTGATTCATTTTAGTCACTCCATAGACAAAGTCATTAGATACCTATGAAGGTCCACCTATCATTTGTCAAAAGTTCATGTTCTTTCAACATTCTCATATTCTTTAGTCATCACGATGGCTTTAAGCCAGAGTCTGAACGCAAAGACAAGCATGTAAGTGAATATAAAACACACCCTGAAAAGTAATATATATATATATATATATATATATATATATATATATATGGATGGCACTGCCTGCAAGCCCAGAGAAAGAACAGCTTAAAAAAGAAAATAGCTGTATATCAGAGTGAATACATATTGGAAGAGGACCACAGGGTTCAATGCAGACATTTTGTTCCAGTTGGCTCAGGGAGGAGCTGGTCAAGAAGCCAAGTTTTACAGATAGACCTTTAGCTCATAATTCGTTCACTGTTAAGATGGTGAATGTTTATCTTAGGACTTAATAAAAGAAAGACCTTACCTAAGAAGAAACTGAAGAGGAGTCCTCCACAGATAAGTAATGCAGTCCCTTGGGAGTAATACCCATGGGCTGTGGATCAGGGCTCTGACTGCCTCTGAAGCACAGCATACACAGTGCAATCAGTACAAATGTAGGACCTCAGTCTCTCCACCTGAAAAATACAAATAATAATGTCACTGTTTCCGCCAAGTAATGGCTGAGTAAAAGAAATTCAGGCTGATTACAAAACACAGGAAGAACAAAAAACAAAAGTCATGTACACTGTGTAGCATAGAATGTCTGGTAATCACACATACACCTTTACACTATACCCCAAATGGGAGGTCTTAACTTGTAGTTTTCCACTACAAAACATTAGTTGCTCACTACCAAGGATGGGAAACATGTGAAACTAGATCAGCCATGAAAATAAGAGCAAGTTTATGGGGGCACCTGGGTGGCTCAGTCTTGAGCACTTGACTTCACAATCTCGTGGGTTCAAGCCCTACTTCAGGCTCTCTGCTCTTAGCACAGAGCCTTCTCTAGATCCTCTGTCTCCCTCTCTCTCTGCCCCTCTCTAGCTTGTGCTCATTCTCTCTCAAAAATAAGTAAACATTGAAAAAAAAATAAGAGCAGGTTTGTGTAGTTGGGGGTGGAAAGAATTCAGGAGAGGCCAACTGAGAGTTGGAGAGGCTGAATGAAATGTTAAACAATCTCTGATTCACCTCTTTGCTCCCTTTGTTGGAGAGTGAAGGTCAGGCACCATTGCTGTATCCTTGTAAGAGCCTGCTATGCTGACTTGCTTGGGTTTCATTTGCCATGCTGTGCCCAGTGGGAAATAACCATGGGACTGTGGGAAGGGGGAGGGAGGTGTGCTCCACCAAAGAACACGAGCTGTTTGCTCTACATACAGATCTTGAAATCATGGACAAGGCCAAGAGGGACTTGTTCTGTGAAGGACTATTCCAGCATCACTGAGGAGCCCCAGAAAACCGAACTTGGGCACTGCAATCTTCATCTACCGTCAGCAGATTCCTACACTTCCAGAAGCTGTGGTGAGTTTAGGTGATGTCTGTGCAATGAGTGACCACAGGATAGTACAGCCCTTTAGAACATTTCTCCAAATGGAAATCTGTTTATATCAACCCTTATTAAGATCCAGAGAAACACATTTATACATGGAAAGAAAATCATGGATGAAACTATGAAAAAGTCATTGAACACAATTATAATGTACCACAAACCCACTGAGTGTTGATACTAAAATAGCCTTGTTATTAAAATTTGGACTATGCCATAATTAAAATATATCACAAACATTATAGAGTTTTGACCCTGAAATAGCTGTGTTATTAAGGTTTTAAAATACTGGCTATGTCTATACTACTTAGATTATTTCTTGTGTTGAGTTCAAGTAGTTACAGATGCTTATGGAGAATAGTCTTCCAACTTGGTTGATCTAAATTCCAAGTTCTAATGCTGATTCTACTACTGCTTTATCATAAGACTTTATGGACATTCTTACTTAGTCTGAGTTCTTTCTTTTAATACTTGCTCCACTCACTACACTAACCTCCATTAGCCACTGAAAGACAAAAATTATGAAACTCCAAGAACTGAAAATCACTATGCGAACTACCAATAATAAGGAATCCAACTAAGCCCCCTAGTATCACTATTAACCCTGAAACAACTCTCAGAGACAGGCAAAATGGATCCCCATTAGTCACAAGGAACAAGAGTCTCTACATTAAAATTATATTCTTATCAAACAGTGGACCCAGCATGTAAACTCAGGTCAGTCTGATTTCAAAATCCTAGATCTTGGGTCGCCTGGGTGGCTCAGGCAGTTAAGCATCTGACTTTGATTTTGGCTCAGGTCATAATCTCACGGTCATGAGCTCAAGCCCTGCATCAGGCTCTGCTCTGGGCATGAAGCCTACTTAAGATTTTCTCTCCTCCTGTCCCTTTCCCTTCCCTCACTCACACGTGCTCTCTCTCTCTTTCTCTCTCACAAAAAAAAAAAAAAAAAGAAAAGAAATCCAAGATCCTTCCACTTGCATAAACCACAGGAAAATCGAAGGAGTGATAATTTTACTAAAGAAAAATTTTTTAACATAGCTACTTGATTGCTTTATTATAGTAAAGACAAGAGCTAGTTTATTCTGAAAGCCACGCATTGCTCCCCACATATTAGCTCATGTGATCATCATGACAACCCTATAAGCTAGGCATTATTAGACTCGTTTCATACATGAGCATGCTGAGGCTCACAGAGGAAAAGTTCTCTAGGGTCAAATGTGGTGAATTCAGACTAACTGGGACAGATAATTAAAAAGTGCATTATAGTTTGCTTTCTGATATAGTTTTATTACTTTTACACAAAGTAACTTCAGTTACACTACTACATAAGGCCAAGGAGAAGCCCTTAATGGATTTTCATATAATGAATGAATAAGAATATGTGCAATCATTTGGTTGTAAGAGTAAATGAGTGCATTGAAAGTACTTGGCGTTCCTTGAAAAATCTCATCTTCAAATAAAATTCAAAGGCCCCTGAAATATTTTGAATATTCATGCAAAACTAGTAAGATTTTGGAAAGAGACGTTGCTTAAGTGCATATTAACTTCAAACCAGCTGAACTCCACTTATTTCAAAGTTTAAAGACCTTGATACAAGAAGAATATAAAACTACCGAGTTGGACTGAGTGAAATTTTGTTGTTTGACTACTGCGAACTTCTATGAGTAGCAGAATTGTGGGAAACACCCTGTGATTCAGCAGGACATGTTAATCATCAGAGTCATCCTCTGCCAGCCCCATCTTCATGAGAAAAGCAATTGTGAAACTTGTCTCTTTTTGCAACAGAATTTCTCCCTCTGGTCCACTGGCTACCAGTCAAATGTTCTCATTTTAGAAATTTAAGAGGCCTGCATAGCTAGAGAGAATATGAGAATGTAAGATCAGACTTCTCCTAAATGTGAAATAATTGATGATATTCAGAGTTTAAAAAAAATCCCATTTGAAGAGTATAAAGGTCAGAGAGACTTCCTAATTTAGTTGCTATTAAATCAGCGTTTAAACCCTTTGCTAGATATTGCCAGTTTCATGTGAAGCAGGGTTGATATATGAAGTTGAAAAGAATGACCCCAACCCCTCCGACATGCAAGCTGTATCCTCAATGCCTGAGGCCAACTTCACAAAGGAATGCTTTACTGAGTTGAACTAAAAAATGCTAGAAAATATTACAATATACTAACCACACTCACAGCAATGTTATGAAATCTGTAGTAGCCTTAATAAATCAGTGGAGGGCGCAGGAAATTTTTATTAGCCAGAGTTTCTAATACATTTTCCCTCTATAATGAATACAGGACGGAAGGGTTGGGTGTCAGGGGGAGCTGTCCAAAATTCAAGGTCCCTGAAATATTTGGGAAATTCTCTCTACTGTATAGACTTGAGGTTTGATTTTATTGAATTAAGGCACCAGGGAAAGAACTTTGGAACCAAAAAAAAAGAAAGAAAGAAAGAAAGAAAAAAATAAAACGACTTTGTTAAGGGTAGTTCTTTTTATTTAAATACAGGTGGACTTATTTATCATGGGTTGGAGGCAAAGGAGAAAGACCCAAATGGAGGGTACAGTTGAAAATAGTTGAGAGACAGTTCTTAGGGGTGCAAAAGGGTGGAATGGATAGGATCCAGAGCATTGGTAGCAGAGAGCTTGATTTTAGAAAAGAAAACGAAAGCACCCCTTCCCTTACTTTTTCCTCTTGACTTCAAGGAATCATAAACAAAACCAGTCAATGTCCCCAAAAGGCAGTCACTCTGGGTGTCTTATGGGTATGGCTTTTCCTTCCCTCCCTCTTCCGCTAGTCCCTGTATCTCCCATGCAATCAAATTTTCAGGGAGAGGAAGTGAGAGGCAGGAAAGAGAAACAAAGCCCCAGAAACAGATTCTCTGGAAGGAAATACGTGGCCACTGATGCTTGAAGACTTTAATTCCCTCTGTGAAAGTGCCACAGAAACACTGTCAGACAATTGAGGGCCTGGGCCTGTTTAGTCTGTATATCAGGAATTAGATGTAAAATATACGTTTGACTTCCAGGGAATAAAATGAATTGTCATGGTAGAGACAGTTTCACATAGGGAATATTATCCTGAAGCCTTCCAGCTTGAGTCTCTCCCTTATAACTACCCACCACAAATTATTTTCATAATAAAAACAAGCTCTGAGAACAAACTAATTACATGGGAGAGCAACTTATACTTCACTGCAGTTTTCACAATATTTTTTTTCATCAAATATGAGTTAGCCAAAGCAATTAGGAAAAATGATTAGCAAAGCTCTTTATTGAATATGGATCCAAGTCATGTAAAAAAAATTTAAAAAGTATTTCTTTCTTGAAAGTGGCTTTAAGCCTACATTTTCCTCCAAGCGATAATCTATGTTCCCTTCCGCAATAGCTTTTTGGAGACATGCGGTCATCTGAGAGCATATAACTCTTCTCCTGAAATAATACCAAGTTTTCCTTTCCTCTCCTGGTAGAACTTTCTGTAAGGTGGTAGAAAATCTTGAAATGTGGCTGCTTCTTCGTAACAGAGCACTAAAAGAACAAGACTGCCGAGATCGCAGTACAAACCATCTATACAGGTAAGCCTTGGGAATCCTTCTAAATCTGAAAAAGCTTAGATCTTAGATCACTAAACTCTGCAGTTTTTCAGTTCACAAGGATCACTGATCTTCCACAGAATAAAAGTGGGTTTGAAAGGCATTTGCATCTGCTCTTTATACCTTTACAGCTTCAAATATTTTGGATGCTTAGGAGTAAACATGAAAAAAGTCCATCTGGTCGAAATTACATTTTCCCATGTGAGCAACTGTGGTGTCGCTAGACATTCCACATGAGTTTAAACTAGCATCTCTCTTCGTTTCTGTGTGTGCTGGGCACTCAGGCTTATAGAAAACTTTGATTGGTGAAAAAAAATCCAATAAAACAACTAAGATGAAAGTTAAAATCCACTTTTAATGTCTTAAATTTTTATTTTATGTGCAAGTTGAGACAAAATTGATGAGTATTACTTCCTATTATTTCATGATTATTTTATTATTTAGATCTTCCTAAAAAATGCAGCTTCTAAGCACTTTGGAGTGGCCATTAGCATTTCAGGTGAA